GAAGGAAGGAAGGATAGCAGAATTACAGGAAGGGACCTTGGAGGTCTTCTAGTCCAACCCCCTGCTCAAGCAGGAGACCCTATGTACCATTCCAGAACAAGGGGCTGTCCAGTCTCTTCTTAAAAACCTCCAGTGATGGAGAAGGAAGGAAGGAAGGAAGGAAGGAAGGAAGGAAGGAAGGAAGGAAGGAAGGAAGGAAGGAAGGAAGGAAAGCAGAATAACAGGAAGGGACCTTGGAGGTCTTCTAGTCCAACCCACTGCTCAAGCATGAGTCTCTATACCATTCTGGACAAATAGTTGTATAATCCCTTCTTAAAAGCCTCCAGTGTTGTAGCACTCACAACTTCGGGAGGCAAATATAACCCATAGAACCAAAATATATCTTTTTATGCCTGAATATTCTGCAGCTGCATTGAGGAATCTAACATCTCTCTCTATATATAAAAGCAGATGCTGCAAAAAGTCACAAAAAAAAGAACAGATTACTAAACCAAAGAGTTGTACATTTTGGGGGGGAAAAAAGCGATATTTCCTGAAATATATTGTACCTGCTATTATTAAAACTGAAGATGATTCCTTTCTTGCTTAAATCGTCTTTCCCACTGTAAATTTGGTAAGGGCCATCAAATGTTTCATTGTACTTGAATGAGAGAAAGAGAGAGAACAGAAAGTGATTTTTTGATACAAACAGGCTTGATCATCAAGATAAATGGCCTAGCATTTAAAAATCAGCTCTACAAAATCTAAGATATGTCCAACATTCTTCATTTTCTGTTTTTAGTAGACACTGGTGTGTTTTTCCCCCCGTAGCTAGGATATGTAGATCTTCAGTTATGGCAGTGATGGCAAACCTTTTAGAGACCGAGTGCCCAAACTGCAACCCCAAAACCCACTTATGCATCGTCGGGTGCCGGGTGGGTGTGGCCCATTGGATGGGTGTGGCCCATTGGGTGAGCGTGGCTGTGGTGGTAATGGCAGACTGGGTGGACTAAAAAGTTCAATCAATCAATTCCAACTTTGCGAGATCTTTTTTTTCCCGTGAGAAGTTGAAATTGACTCATTGATTGAACCTTTTTTTTTTTTTTTTGCACACGGCGGTGGCGGCCTAAAGCGAAAAGGTTTTATAAAACCCAGCTGAAGCCTAGGACTGGGGTGATGGCGCGCGTGCCCACAGAGAGGGCTCCGAGTGCCGCCTCTGACACCTGTGCCATAGGTTCGCCACCACTGAGTTATGGTATAGTTTGGCTAAAAATTTAAACAAGGAAACTGTGAGTTCAGGAAACAAAATATAACTGAAGATGCCCTGAAGTCAACTTTAGACAAAGCATTCACGTCTTTTAAAAATGTTGTTGTTGTTGTTAATTGCGAAGTCGTGTCCGACCCATCACAACCCCCTGGACCATGTTCCTCCAGGCCTTCCTGTCCTCTACCATCTTCTGGAGTCCATTGAAGCTCACGCCTACTGCTTCAGGGACTCCATCCAGCCACCTCCTTCTCTGTCGTCCCCTTCTTCTCTTGCCCTCAATCTTTCCCAGCATTAGGCTCTTCTCCAGTGAGTCCTTCCTTCTCATTAGGTGGCCAAAGTACTTGAGTTTCAACTTCAGGATCTGGCCTTCTAAAGAGCAGTCGGGGTTGATCTCCTCTAGGACTGACCGGTTTGATCGCCTTGCAGTCCAGGGGACACGCAGGAGTCTTCTCCAGCACCATAGTTCAAAGGCCTCCATTCTTTGGCGCTCAGCCTTTCTTATGGTCCAACTTTCACAGCCATACATTGCAACTGGGAAAACCATGGCCTTGACTCTACGTACTTTTGTTGGCAGGGTGACGTCTCTGCTTTCTTTTAAAAATAACCCAACCCAATATAAGATAAACTCCCAGGAACCTCAACCTGGTGATATGGAGTTGGCTAATATTTTAACCTGTCTTGTATGACAAAGATGCAAGTAGTGTATACATATAGATGGCAATATTTCCACCTCCTTGAAATCTATGAAGACTCTCCATCATCCAGATCATGGCTGTCCCAAAGGTGCATTTTCAAGAGACAACTGGACTTTCTTTCTTTTTTTCTTGGAAGACATTTTGCTTCTCATCCAAGAAGCTTCTTCAGCTCTGACTGGATGGTGAGGAGTGGAAGGATTTCAAAAAACACCTTTGGGACAACCATGAGCTGGATGACTGAGAATCTCCATAGACATTTAGCTATGTACTCCCTTTGAATGGTGAGGGAGTATGCATGGATTTCCAGAAAACATTGCAGATTACAGGAACTATTTGCACTTCAGTTTGAGATGAAGACCACATACACTCATACCCAACAGCCTGCACCTTCGACAGTGAAGGGACACAGGGCAAAAAATATCCTGCAGTCTAGAAGGCTCCACACACATGTGCAGCACTCAGGTGACCCCGAGGGAACAGGTAAACATCCAAGTGGCCTCAATGACTCTCTAAAAAGAATGCAAATGACCAGCTCTCTGTAAGGAGTATAAATCCTTCCATTCCCCACCATCCAGTAAGAGCTGAAGAAGCTTCTTGGATGAGAAGCGAAACGTCTTCAAAGAAAAAACAAGAAAGTCCAGTTGCCTCGTGAAAAAAAGCACCTTTGGGACACCCCCTTGATAATTATTTCATTTTCTTTCCTCCTGCCTTTGAATTATCAATGTCACATTTATTTATTTGATTAATTAGAATTGCTAAGGTTGCATTCTGAATCTTGATCACCTAAAACTTGCCACGGCTTTCAATTCTTATCCACCCTCCCATTTTTCATTCACGGCGTCAAAAATAATGTGAAAACGATGATGCAATCACAGCCGTAAAACTATTGATGCGTTTACAAGACAGCCGTTGATATAATTACTAATTACTAATGGACTGAGATGCATTATACACAAAAGATGAAAGTAATCAGTTGCGAGGAAAATGGAAAAATTGAAAAGCCGATCCTATGAAACAATGAGAGCTAATTCTGATATCCAAGTCCCCAAAGGAAAAAGTGGCAAAATCTAGATTTTCACATTTGTTTCCCCCATCCAATCATGATCCAGGACTATACTTGCTTAGCTTACCAGATCAGCCATGGTCAAATTGGTGCTATCATTAGATGAAAAGGAACAAGATAAGACAATTACTTTATACCCTTATCAAAATCCCATTTGTTGCTGTGCACTTTATTTCTAACATCCGATGCAGTAGATTGATCCCAGCAATGTTGTTGTATCTAGAATAAAAACCTGTTGACTTTGAATAAGCCATGCTAACATAGAATTTATTATTCTAATTTAAACGTTCTGAACTTTCTGAATTTTAAGGAGGCGTTTGTTATATCGGCACAAATGCTTTCCTTAGAATCCCATCGCAAATAATCAATGTTCCCTTTGAGTTCATACTTACAGGGTAGAATACTCCAACAAATGGTTTAACTTTTTTCACTGGGATGGATTTCAAGAAAGGATCGTCATAGCCCCAAAGTAATTCTTTCACACTTCGAGTTTGGAGGAATCTTGATTTTGATGACTTCATCCAGATATCCATCAAGGCTTGAATAAGTCCAGTTTTATACAAAACCGGTGCAGCCTGCATCAAATAGCAATATGCCTTAAATTTTTGACGCTGGGATGCAAATCAACACAAACAGGCTTGAACTACAGTAGTGGCCAAAATTGTGGAAACCTTTTGGGAAAAGTGTACAGTAGAAATGCCACCTTTGGTTAAGTTTCCACCCATTTTTCTTCTCATTTCTTTATAACTGTAGCCTTGTTCGCTTAACAATACTATTTTACATCGCTTTCTGGGGGACCAGTCAACTCTTTGCACCATTACCTTAATTTTATTACGTTTTACATGAAAGAACACAAAAAAAACCCAACCCACTTGATAGCGATCACATAACACACTGACAAATGTCTTCCTCTCCGCTTCAATACATGACATCAATCACTGAATCCTCCTGTGATCTGATTGGCTCAGTGCCAAAACAAAAGGACACCTCATTGGCTCTCTAAACACTCCTGCTCATTGGCTACAATCAGATGAAGGAAAGCTACCTGAGATCAACCTAAGCAAGTTGTGCTTCCTTTTTCTGGTTATTTGGCTATAACCTTTCATAAATTACAGTACAGATAGTTGAACAAACTTTGTTGCATTACATTCTTGATTAAATTATATTTCCATTGATATATAATTTTATGGTACTACTCCAAAAAAAAGTGGTGTTATTAGCCATCAAACCTCAAAAATACACTTTTCCCAAAAGGTTCCCACAATTTTGGCCACTCCTGTAAGTCTTACATGTGATCAAACCACAGAATATCTTAAAGTTTTGAACCTAAGCACATGCTGAACGACTTCATTAATACCAATACAGGTAATCCTTGACTTACGATCACGATTAAGCCCAAAATTTCTGTTGCTAAATGAAGCGGTTGTTAAGGACGTTTTGCCTCAGTTTACAACTTTTCTTGCCACAGTTGTGAACTGAATCACTGCCGTTGTTAAGTTGGTAACATGGAGGTTAAGTGAGCCTGCCTTCCCCTTTGACTTTGCTTGTCAGACATTCACAAAAGGGGATCCCAGGACGCAGCGACCGTCATAAATATGAGTCAGTTGCCAAGCGGCAATTTTGATCACGTGACCGTGGGGATGGCTGCAACGGTCATCAGTGTGAAAACTGATCATAAGTCACATTTTTCAGTAGCGTTGTAACTTTGAACAGTCACTAAATGGACTGTTGTATGTCAAGGACTACCTGTATAATGAGACACGTATTCATACTACCTGTATCTATATAAATAAAAATGTAAATGTTCGTTTGTTCAAAATCTTAAATCTCCGAAAGTTCTTCACCGATTGCTTTGAAATTTTGGCACAACATTGCATTCGAATATGCGTGTGTTTTTATATACCTATATACCTACTATTATATAGATGTCACACCTGTGACAGGTAAAAACATGCTTTTTTAAAAAAACAGCGCCATCTGTTGGACGTAAATTTAACCAGACTGAGCCACAGCAACGCGTGGCCAGGTAGAGCTAGTAAATAATAAATATGTTGGCAGTGCGTATGTACCTTCACTATCATAGCAGGCCCATGTACCTGACCAATCTTTCTATGTGGATACAGGAGATTAAATTAGTTTTATAGCCCTCTGGGAATAAAATAATAGTTTCAGATCAAAAATCAGAAGGTGGGAGACGAGAACAGCAATAACAAAGAAGGACTAGTATATAGCAATAGCATTTTAGATGTATATACCGCTTCACAGTACTTTACAGCCCTCTCTAAGCGGTTTACAGAGTCAGCCTTTTGCCCCCAACAATCTGAGTCCTCATTTTACTGACTTCGGAAGGATGGAAGGCTGAGTCAACCTTGAGCCGGTCAGGATCGAACTCCTGGCAGTGGGCAGAATTAGCCTGCAATACTTCCTTTTAAGTATTGTCCCACCAGGAAGGAGAATGAGAAAGGGAATAAGAGAGGAAGGAAGGAAGGAAGGAAGGAAGGAAGGAAGGCATAGCAATAGCACTTAGATGTATATACCGCTTCACAGTGCTTTACAGCCCTCTCTAAGCGGTTTACGGAGTCAGCCTATTGCCCCCAACAATCTGGGTCCTCATTTTATCAACCTTGGAAGGATGGAAGGCTGAGTCAGCCTTGATTTGCTGGTAGATGTCTCATTTTTGAGCAAGAATTAAGATAGAGAAACAATATTGTAAGAATTGCAAATGCATAGGTTTCTGGATTTTGCCAGACTACAGTTCCCAGCATCCCTCAGTATTGGCTAAAAGGTCAAAATCAGCTGGGACATCAGGAGGAGAATCACCTCAATGTTTGGATTTTAGCTGTAACACATTGTCCGGTGTCAGAGTTGTCCGATGTAACGACGCCAACATTTAAAACATAGACTAAAACGTAGACTTCACTAGACTAAGCTTGATACCCGAGATAGATATTCTGAGATAGTTTATACATATAGATGCAGGTGTGTGTATTTAAGGAGCATTGTTTCAAAAATTGGATACAAACAAAGGCTAAATCATGCTGCACACACAGTCCCCAGAGATTGGGACAATATGTTTTACTGAGATCTCACAATCTCTAGAGGTCTTGATGCCTCTGGAGATACTACCAAGTAGTAGTAATTGGCACTTTTGTTAGTCATCTCATCAAAGTAGCCAAGTATAGAACAGACAAGGGATTTGAGAAGCTTCCTCAGTCTCCAAAGATTTCAATGGAAAAAATGCTGAAGCTAAAGAGTAGGGTAACACAACTACAACATGTTTGTGGAAGAGAGGAGGAAGCACAACATGTTTGTGGAAGAGAGGAAGGAAGCCCATTGGAGTCAATTGGACCAAGCTAGTAAATTGGGTCACCCGAAAAGTCCATTTCATTCATCCACAATGCTGAAAGGAGTGACTAAAAAAGTTTGAGAATACCCCAAACCAATATTTTATTGACTGATTATTACAATTTAATATCCAGATGACAGAAATCTTAAGGGAGGGCTTGCTTACCACAACCGCAAGGTTGACAGTCGTGACAGTGTCATTTTCCGGCCCAACTGACATATCGGGTTGAAAACGGATAATATTTGGCTGAAAGTAGGACAGGGTGTTGTTGTAGTGTTCAGTGATGTTTTCTTTGGGCAGATAGCGCATCCTTGAGGAAAAAGAGATACCACGTGTTAAGGGCGGAAGAATTGAATCGGTGGAACGGCTTCCCTTCAGAAGTTGTGGGTGCTCCATCACTGGAGGTTTCAAGAAGAGATTGGGCAGCCATTTGCCTGAAATGGTGTAGGGCAGTGATGGCGAACCTTTTAGAGACCGAGTGCCCAAAGAACGGCCCTGCCCCCACCCACCCCACCCCGCTCCGCCTGCTCCACCCCACCCCGCCCGCCCACAGGGCCACCCACCACCTCCACGGCTCGCCACAGATCACCCAGATGGCCTAGCAGCACTGTGGCAGCCACGCCCTCCACCCGCGTCCCACAGCATCAACTGCGCGTGACAGGGCATGAGGGCGGAGTCTTGTCCCCGCTGCCCAGCTGCCATGTCCTTGGTTGCGCTACTCCGTGATGGCCGCACTCAGGGGCGACTCTCCTCCAGGGGGGCTGCTAGTGAGGAGGGGGCCGCGTGCCATAGGTTCGCCACTACTGGTATAGGGTTTCCTACTTGAGCAGGGGGTTGGACTAGAAGACCTCCAAGGTCCCTTCCTACCCTATTATTCTATGTTCCAAAGCTGACCAATGGATATTTGACCATCAAATCCTTTTACTTTACTTTACTTTACTTTACTTTACTTTACTTTACTTTACTTTACTTTACTTTACTTTACTTTACTTTACTTTACTTTACTTTACTTTACTTCACTTCACTTCACTTCACTTCACTTCACTTCACTTCACCTCTCAACTCAACTCAACTCAACTCAACTCAACTCAACTCAACTCAACTCAACTCACTTCACTTCACTTTACTTTAATTTAATTTACTTTACTTTACTCTACTTTACTCTACTTTACTTTACTTTACTTTCCACAGCATAACAAGACACGCAAATATGCATCTTTGAAACCTCTTTCAATATGTTTTACATTAGCCTGTGAATCCCGATGAAAAGCCACAATCCCTTTGTCCCAGGCAAAAGTGTATGATTCATATTTTGTTTCATTTGGATGGCTGTTCAGACGGCCACCAGGAAGAGAAAACCGCACACAAACACAGACACTTGAAAGAACCTTTCTGTTGTTGTTAGCCCAAGGACACAATTCAACCCAGGGCAAAATACCTTGGGCCAAGCTTGTTGTTGTTAGTTGTGAAGTCATGTCCTACCCATCGCGACCAAGCTAGCCAGACTCTTATATAATATCCCCATGGAGACCAAGGCAAAATAAAGCTGGTGTGCAGCTTGGTGAAAAAAACCCCCACTGGTCAACCTGCTCTAGAGAATTGTGTTCATGGACAACAACAAAGCATTCAAAACATGACTTGCATGTGGCGGTTTTGGCATGCAATCCAAGAACTGTCAGACCTTCCCTTTCTAAATGTTGGGGATGGAACTACATTTCCTATAATTCCCCTGCCCCTAAGTAGGCGTCCTGAGGTTTAGTGCCTCTTGACCAAGTTATCGATTTGTGTTCCCTTCTAATGTGATTTCAAAGCAAGGGAAATATTTCCTCTCATTTTCTAACTACAGTATTTTCCAAAATCCCCACCTATACAAAGCTCGTTTGAACAACTAATATTATTAGTTTTGGGGGGCCGGTTGGGGGTTAGAGATGGCTGTGAAAGTTGGACCATGAGAAAGGTTGAGCACCAAAGAATTGAGGCCTTTGAACTATGGTGCTGGAGAAGAATCCTGCAAGTCCCCTGGACTGCAAGGCGATCCAACTGGTCAGTCCTAGAGGAGATCAACCCCAACTGCTCTTGAGAAGGCCAGATCCTGAAGTTGAAACTCAAGTACTTTGGCCACCTAATGAGAAGGAAGGACTCCCTAGAGAAGGGCCTAATGCTGGGAAAGATGGAGGGCAAGAGAAGAAGGGGACGACAGAGAAGGAGGTAGCTTGACGGAGTCACTGAAGCAGTAGGCATGAGCTTCAATGGACTCCAGAAGATGGTAGAGGACAGGAAGGCCTGGAGAAACATTGCCCATGGGGTTGTGATGGGTCGGACACAACTTCGCAACTAACAACAACAAGGGATTAGAGACAAGATTCTCTAATCCCTCTTCCAAGTTCCCAGGAGAGTCTGTTCCTCAGGTCTTGACTTACCTATAAGTGTAAGGACCTTTCTGCTGAAGTATTGGAGCGGAACCATTCGCCATCACATCCTCTGGGTTCTGTACATCGAAGAACCAAAACTGTCGGTAGATGGGACTCCCAGGAATCACCCAGTTCTGATAGGCAGTTGTACCCTTTTCAATGACAGATTCCTGTAAAGGAGTATCAACAGCAATAATTTAATATGTTTTGGTTTTCCTACATCCGTCAGAATAGACATTTTTACGAAAATTGCTGGCTGGAAGAAAAAGTGGCCTAGATACAGGTAGTCCTCGACTTACGACTACAATCAAGCCCAACATTTCTGTTGCTAAGTGGGACATTTGTCAAGGGACCTTTGTCCCATTTTACGACCTTTCCTGCCACAGTTGTTAAGGAAATCTCTGCATCTATTAAACCAGTCACACTGTTGTTAAGTGAATCTGGCTTCCCCCATTGACTTTGCTTGTCAGAAGTTCGCAAAGGGGTGGTCACATGACCCCAGGACATTGCAACCATCATAAGCACATGTCAGTTGCCAAGCGTCTGAATTTTAATCACGTGACTATGGATGGATGTCGTAACGGTCGTAAGTGTGAAATACCATACTAGGTCACTTTTTTCAGGGCCGTTGTAACTTTGAACGATCTCTAAATGAACTGTTGTAAGTTGAGGCCTATCTATGGTGTTTCCTGGAAAAACCCCTTAGTTATTATGGTGGAATTGTAATATAATAATTGCCTTTATTTCAAAGTGATATTTAGGTGCAGGATGGAGAGAAGGTAACCTTTCCCCAAAAAACTAAAAACAGGCATCTGTGGAAATAATCAACACAACTCCTCATGTTTTCCCAAAAATAAGACCGGGACTTATATTAATTTTTGCTCCAAAAGATGCCTTAAGGCTTATTTTCCAGTTAGGGCTTATATTCGGGGAAAGCGGTACTACTGTGTTTCCCCGAAAGTAAGGCCTACACCAACAATAAGTCCTAGCTTGATTTTGGGGAGTGGGCCTAATATAAGTCCTATCCCAAAAATAAGCCCTAGTTTTGGGGCAAGGCACACACCTAAAAATCAAGCTAGGGTAGGGGTGGGGGTGTGGAGCTACCCCACATGCCCCACACCCATTTGCAGCCAGGCTTCTTCTCGCTAGCCCACTTCTTCTGTGGCGTCTTCTGCATCCAGGCCTGCATTTCTCAGTCACAGACCTTTCCAGAAGGCCACTGCAGCCAAGGGATTCAATCCATAACTCGGTACTCGGCTGCTTAGGCCTTCTGGAAAGACCTGACTGCAAAATGCAGGCCCGAATGCAGCTGCAGAACTTCGGCCCCAGAAGAAGTGGACCGGCTGGGTGGGGCTGTTGGTGCCGGAAGTGAGGTAAGGCCTACCTCAAAAATAAGATCCGGTGCCTCTTTTGGAGGCAAAAATAAATACATACATAAGAAAGAAAGAAAGAAAGAAAGAAAGAAAGAAAGAAAGAAAGAAAGAAAGAAAGAAAGAAAGAAAGAAAGAAAGAAAGAAAGAAAGAAAGAAAGAAAGAAAGACCTGGTCTTATTTTCAGGGAAATACAAGTATATGCATCTGTCTGACTGACGATTTTAACTGGGGCTTATTTTGGGGGTGGAGCTTATATTACGAGCATACTGAAAAATCATGCTAGGGCAGGGGTAGGCAACCTTGGCTCTTTTATGGCTCGTGGACTTCAACTCCCAGAATTCCTGAGCCAGCCATGCTGAGGCGAAAGAGAGAGGTTTCCAAGCTGAGCCATGCTGGCTCAGGAATTCTGGGAGTTGAAGTCCACGAGTCATAAAAGAGCCAAGGTTGCCTACCCTGTGCTAGCGGTTATTTTCCAGTTGGGTCTTATTTTTGTCAAAACACGGTAATTTCTCTCTGCTTCTTTAGCATCAGCTGGTTTGGTTGCATTGTTCTTTCCCGACTTATAGTCAAACTAAGTCCAGAAATGCAAAAATCCTGCAATCGTGAATTTTGAGTTTTGAACAGCAGAGTGTGCACCAAGCTCACTTTGTTTTTAATAATAAATAGGTAGGCTAAAAAAAAAAAAAAGCCAGTTTTCTAATGGGTTTTCAGGCACTTTAAGCCTATATCTACTTGCTCCTGTGTTGAATGCAGTTTGATTGGGTTGTTAATGCCAACACAGCTAGTCTTTGACTCATGATCACAAATGAGCCCAAAATGTTAGTTGCTAAGTGAAACATTTGTTAAGTGAGTTTTACCCCATTTTACGGCTTTCCTTGCCGCGACTGTTAAGTAAAACACTGCCGTTGTGAACTCAATAACGCCAGGTTGCAAAAGGGGATCACGTGACCCCGCCAGGATGCTGCGACCATTATAAGTATGAGTCAGTTGCCAAGCGTCTGAGTTTTGATCATGAAGCTGCGACGGTCGTAAGTGTGAAAAACGATGCAAAGTCACTTTTTTCCCAGGGCTGTTGTAACTTTGAACGGCCACTAAATGAAGTGTTGTAAGTTGAGGACACCCCCCCCCCCCCGGTATGAATCACTCTGCAATCACCTTGCATCAGAATTACAATTTAAAAAATGATCCAAATTACTGGGCGATCAGAAGGAAGTGCAACGCTCAGCAGGTACTCAAGATCTTCTTATAGACCAGGGGTAGGCAACCTTGGCTCTTTTATGACTCGTGGACTTCAACTCCCAGAATTCCTGAGCCAGCATGGCTCAGCTTGGAAACCTCTCCCTTTCTCCTCAGCATGGCTGGCTCAGGAATTCTGGGAGTTGAAGTCCACCAGTCATAAAAGAGCCAAGGTTGCCTACCTCTGGCCTAGGCCTAGGCCACTTTATGACTCGTGGACTTCAACTCCCAGAATTCCTTAGCCGGCATGGCTCAGCTTGGAAACCTCTCCCTTTCCCCTCAGCGTGGCTGGCTCAGGAATTCTGGGAGTTGAAGTCCACAAGTCATAAAAGAGCCAAGATTGCCTACCGTTGCTATAGACCAAAGAATGAGGCATAGAGAACGATTTACTGTTATTGACCATAAACAGATCAAGGAATGTCTATGGAGGTTCTCAGCCATCCAGGTCCAGGTTGTCCCAAAAAAGGTTGTCCCTTTTTTTCAGGAGGCAACTGGACTTTCTTGTTTTTTCTTTGAAGACGTTTCGCTTCTCATCCAAGAAGCTTCTTCAGCTCTAACTGGATTTATACCCTTTGCAGACAGCTGGTCGTTTGCCTTCTTTTAGAGCACGGGTATCAAACTCGCCACGCCACGTGACGTATTGCGACGTATCGTGACCTTTTTTTTGCATTGCTGGATCTGGGGTGGGCACAGCATCCATATGATGCAAGCGGCCCGCAGGCCAGCAGTTTGACACCCCTGTTTTAGAGAGCCGTTGAGGCCACCTGGAGGTTTACCTGTGTCCTGCAGCCAAGAAGGCTCTACACACATTTACACTACTCAGGTGACCCTGAAGATCCACTAGCAATCAGCGCCCAGATCAGCATAGATTAACCCCAAGGTAAACATCCAAACAACAATTAAGTAAACAATACTCCAATCAAGAAACTGCCAGAGAAGTCAACAGCAAACAGCCCAATCAAAGAATCTCTAAAATCACCCCCACCAAGAAGGACAGGGCAAGCCACCAGAATATAAACTGACAGAAAACTGCACTCCTTATCAGCCCTGAAGATGTTACCTATTTCAGTAATAAAACGTCTGCAAGAAAACTACCAAGCTCAGAGAGCACCAAGGACCCCACAACCCTCCCCCTCCTCCTCCTCCTCCTCCTCCTCCTCTTCCTCCTCCTCCTCCTCCTCCTCCTCCTCCAGCAGTGATGTTGTTACCTAGTATGTGTCATGAAACATCTGCAAGAAAACAATCAAGCTCAGAGAGCACCAAGGACCCCTGACTAAATTACTGCTAGATAAAAATTTGAACGTAATGATTCTAGGCTGATTCCTCTCTTGACTCCATCCCCCCAGGCTCTGTCTGCCCTTCTCCTACAGTATAACTCAGTGATGGCGAATCTTTTAGATACCGAGTGCCCCAAAACAGCCCTGCCCTTGCTCCTGCCCGCCCCGCCCGCCCCGGTCTATCCCCCACCCCACCAGCCCACAGGGCCACCTACCGCCTCAATGGACCATCGCAGATCACCCAGGTGGCCCTGCAGTGCCATGGCAGCCACACCCTCTGCCTGCATCCCATAGTATCATCTGTGCACAACGGGACGCAAGGGCAGAGTCTTGTCCCCGTTACCCGACTGCCATGTCCTTGGCTGCACTACTACATGTGGGCCACGCCCATGGATGACTCTCCTCCAGGGGCTGCTGGTGAGGAGGGGGCTGTGGGGGGAGTCAGGGCTGGGCGACGGCGC